ATGATGATATCTTGAGGAGCATTGAAGGTACTAATAGATCCGACTACATCCCTCTGTTCCATTCGAGAGAGTATGGGTGCCGTCGCCGATGCAAGAGCCAGATTTGCTGGTGTTATGGAGCGCGAGCTCTAATGAGATGAGTCAAGCGACTGTTGAGGTAGCTAATCAGATGGCTTTGTCTGTGGTTTCAAGATGAAGAAAGCTTTTCAAGTTCGGTTTTCGATTGTGAATAGATCGAGTGAGACCAAAATAGGTAAACAACTGAATGTGTTCTTCGAAAAGCTGTTGATGTGACCGTCCGACGAAGGAATCCGGTAAAGGTAAAGTAAATTGTTGAGAGGTCTGAGAGTTGATGGTTTGATTTGTTGAATGTTGATGTTGAAGTGATGAAAAGAAATGGAATCGAATAGAACACAACAGAACTCAAATTGAATTTCACTTGGTCGACTTAAACTTTTAAGATATCCTTAGCCAAAACCACTTAACAGAACTTAACACCAAACTTAAACCATTCTCAAGACTTAATCCAATTCCCACTCCCTAAGTCTCCCTCCCTTTAAACTCAGTGATCACTTCGGTTCCCTTTCATATGTAGGTCTGAATTCCTGGAGCCTAACAAGATTCCATTCAAGTTCAATAAGTTCAATCAGATGTCTACTTGAAGCGAATGGATAAAGGCTTTCAAGGCCACAGATTACAAAAATGAGCCAGTGGAAAACACACAAAGTGGGGCATTTGAAGTTGCAGAACACCAGAACACCAGAAACACACCAAAAAAAACCTTCTGGTGTTCTGGAAAAAGTCGTCTGAGAATTTCCAGAACAATATTTGTGTACCCTGATTGAGCTGCAATCTTGATCAACCTGCCAACCTGCCGTGTCTGCGTTTTAGATATCCAAAACTGATGTAATGATATCGTAATCTACTAGAGATCACCAGTGTTAGCTGTTGTATTGCAAAGTAAATCTCTATAGATATTCTTGACGACCTTTTTCGTACTGTTGAAAAACTTTTAAATATCTTCAGCTTCATGAACTATGCTACCCAAAGTTCCACAAAAAAAAATCTCTCCTTTTACCTTTTGGTTTTCTCAAAGTTTAAACAATTTGCTTGTGCAAACATGTAAAAGATCAAACAATCAATTCCATTCAAAAAAAACAAGAAAAAAGAAAACTACAAGATCTAAATCTCTATCACCATCAATATGTATTTGTTATACAAGCAAATCTATATAAACATTTGGAAGAAGAAAAAAAAAGGAAAACTGTAGATTTTTTGTTTTATGAGAATTGGGATGAAAGTTTATTTAATCAAAAAGAAACCTCCCCCATGAACTTCAAAAACAAGAAAAAAATTGAAGAAGAAAAAACAAGAAAAAGAAAAAGAGTTTAAAGGTTTCATTCACTTGATTTCGAAGGATAA